TGGACTTACTGGTCTGAAAGAGACTGGGGAAACCTGAGACTGTGACACTCAGCCACCCTCCCTTCGGGTCTGGAATGGAACTCACTCTTGGGGCCCAATTTTCAACCAACTGATGGATAGGCATATGGGGGTTGGAGGTGTTACAATATTAGTGAGGTATGTTCACCATGGAAGGGTCAACCATTCAAGATCAAATGGGCAACATTTATCTGGGACAAGGTGCAGAGGGGTTAGGAAGGAGGGTGTAATGGAAATAGGAACCATAGGGAGGAAGTGGGATAACTGTCCGAAGGGGATTACAATCTGAAATAAACTGTGTGACTTTTGGATGTAAAATTGATGATCTGTACTGTAAACCTTCATTTAATTCACAATAAAAACTTCCAAAAGAAAAAATAAAAAGGTAATATAATTCTTCTGAATTTTTTTACACCCACTTATAGGAGCTCTGGTAGCGTAGTGGTTACGAATCGGGCTGCAAACCACAAGGTCAACAGTTCGAAACTACCAGCTGCTCTGCGGGAGAAAGATGAGGTGTTCTGCTCCTGTAAAGATTTACAGTCTCTGAAACCCTATTCAGGGTCACTATGGGTTGGAACCGACTCGATGGCACTTAACAACAACAACAATAGGTAACAAATAATTTGCCTTTTCAACATTCTTCGTATGTATAATTCAGTAACATTTATTTTATTTATCATGTGGATAATTAATCATAGAGTTAAAAGTATTTATCTACCTTAAGAAAATTACAGATCCAGAGAAAAACCTATTTGCAGTTATTCAGCTACTATTTCTCTCTGAGCAATAAGAGAATAGGATTTTGAAGCTGGTGCTAATAAAATGCTCATTGAGTAAAAAGCATTAAAACGTTAACTTGAAGAGATTCATTAAGGGCCTCAAATCACTTACCTTGAAATTGCTGCGTAGATGAAGTTCAAATTTTAGTCTAACTTTTAATTTTCTCCTTTGACTAATTAGGTTAGTAGTCAGCAGACTTCTTCCTAACATACAGGTCTCACTGAGGTGGTCAGCTAAGTGACAGCACAAAATAGTTTGCATAAAAGTCTCCAAAGAAACCTTCTCAAATGTATTCCTTCTTGTCCTGCATATGATCCCTCAGAGTATTCTACACCTCTGCGGACCATTAGACTTACAGAAGCAGCTGAAACAACAATTCTGCCTCCAATTGGAATCTTAAAGGTGAGGCAATAATATTTTATCTTTCTTATGGCAAAGCTATGGAACAACCCTCTTGAGGGAAAGAAAATCATACAGCTCTCTCTATGTTGATGACATTAGATGTTTTAACAAAAATAGCAGTTTCTATTATTTATAATGTTTATATTATATATTATATTATTATTTATAATAGTTATACTGCTAATAATATTTTCTATTATTATTTTTCTATTATTTCTAAGCAGCAGCATTTTAAGAGTCTTGCTGAATGATTAAACAGGAAGAGAGATAAATTGTTTAGACACAAATAACTTTGACAATTAAAAATGGGCATGACTAGGCCAAGGAAGACAAGTGAAAAGCAAACAGACTGGCATTTGAACAAATTTAGGCTTCCAAGCATCTTTTCATTTCCATTGTCACAATTTTAGCTCCAAAGAAAAGAAAGATCTGCAGTTTCTCTGCTGCCTTTTACCTGCTGGGAGACACTATTTTAGGACAATCATTAGATGCACTGCACACTAGAAGATCCCAAAGACACCAATTGTAGCCATCATCAATTAGCAAACCAGTGTGGGAGGCCCTCCCAATGACAGGGAATCTGTAAATTTCACTTGCAATCTAATTCTTTCCCCTGGCTCTCAAAGACAATAAGGCAGGAGAGGCAGCTCACCCAAGAGTTGGTTCACTGTGTCTTAGAAATCCTTTCTAGGTGTCAGATCTGCACAAATAATCTTTATGAACTACAGAAGTAAATGCTGCATACCATCATAATTTTAATATTAGGTCTTTCCATATTCTATCCTTGATAATCAACTTGGTGGCCAGTAGTTAAATATCCTATAATATCCCTGGGAGATTCCACAGGTCAGATTTTCTTGTTTTCTACACCATCCAAGGTTAACAGTTCTTGGTGAGGCAAAGGATCTGAAGGCACCATTCATTACTATTGACCCAAGAGAATGCAGATGCAGACTTCTCAGGCATACCACTTTTTAGCCCTCCACTCAGAGAATGCTGAAACTGAGGAGAAAATTAACTCCCTGGGCTACCATAATCCAAAGTCATCAAGGTCCACCTACCAAGGACACAAAATATCTTTTTAAGTTAAGTGTAACACTTTAATTTGTGTAGAAGGGAAAGATAAAGAGAGGTACTTAGGGAACAATCTAAAGAAGTCTCAAACTGCTAAACCACTAACCCTATGCAAGACATAAGAAACCTGAAGATTACAACTATTATTTGACCAGTATTTTATGGTTTACTAAGTTCTTTCCTGGAGTTTGGTGTGGTGCTATGTATGGGTTAATACGCTGGACTTTTGCAAAGTTGCTTTGAAAAGCAAGCAGTTCAAGTTCACCAGCCACTCCTTGGAAACCCTACACAGGGTCGCTATGGGTCGGAATTTACTCGACGGCACTTAACGACAACAGTAACAAGTGCTCTCACATACATTACATTATATAATCCTCACAACTACTACCCTGGGACATGGTTGATATCACCATCACCCCATTTTATAGATGGGGGAAAAGAGGCACAGATCAGTAACTTGTTCAAGGTCACATAGTAAATGTTAGAGACAAAAATAATGTAATTTCTGTGAGTCAAATTTCTTTTCAGTAAATCATGCTGCATTTTCTGTTTACTTCCAAGGCAGCCATTGATGCAGCTCTATAGAAGGAAGCATGGTGTTGTGAAGGAAAGAAGTACAAACTTGGAATTAGAAGACCAGAGGTTAACTCTCAATATTGCCACTCAAATGTGTATTTTTAAAAAGCACATATTAGTTAACTACTTTACAGAGTTATGGTGATTAAGATATTATACATGCAAGAGCAGCACAGGTTTGACACTAAGTAAAAATTAAGGTTGTCATTTTTGCTAGTTGCTGTCAAGCTTATTCTGACTCATGGTGACCCCGATATGGGTAGAGTAGAACTGCTTCATAGGGTTAGCAAGGCTGTGACCTTTTGGAAGCAGATCACCAGGCCTTCTTCCAAGGTAAAAAGGAAACTTCTGCAGGCTTATCATCATTAATATTTTCCCCCTTATCTGGCCTTAGGGTGATTAGTGGCATTCAAAGACACCCATCCAGTAATAGTGTGAGCAAACTCACTAGGTCTTTGATGCTTTCAATGTATACTCCATGTCTAATTCACTGAAACCAGTAATGATTATGTGACCATTCTTGACAGTGTATTTACTAGAAAAGTTTGAGGAATGAAAATGAAGGTATAGACAGAATTTTGTAAAGAGAAAGGAAAGGTACAGTAACAGGTATCTGCTGTTTAAGGTTCAGCCCAGTCCTTTCTGTTATTCAGAATAAGTAGAAGCCAAGAGGTTAAATTAGCTGCTTGATACGCCTGGGAAGAATAAGGACAGCAGCCAAGGCAGAAACCACTGAAGAGAAAAGCAACAAAATAGGAGCTAAAGCAAGCACAAAGGAATGTGATCAAGGAAACAGGTCCCAGATGACAAGGAACTGCCTGGAAAGCCTAAGTAAATACATGAATAAATAAACACAATATAAATTATACCCATATGCACTTCATACTCTGGCCCAGAATCTGGTGCCTCATTCAAACACCCACATTTGTCATACTGCCCTTGGGTCACAAAGGGATATTTGGGAGAAGGCAGTTTGTAATTCCTGATTCTCAGAGAAAATCACATTTATCATAAGACCTCACACAGAATCTGGCTTATTTGCTAGGTGCAGATACGCATTTATTTGTAAGATTTATAAAATTGTCTTGCTGTAAAATGTCTCTGGGGACAGGTAAGGCAGACCAACTTTCAATGCAATCTTGTTAGCACATCTCACCCCCATGCTCTCTCATTTCAGCCCTCCCCTCACACATATTTCACACTTTTCCTTTTGTTCCCAGATGTTTTAACACTGTAGTAAATCACTACAGAAATAGGACAGTTTATCTTTAAAAAAAGGGAAAAAGACATAGAAACAAACACCGCGTCTTCACATCCTAGCTCTGTCACACATCAAAATCTATACCAAGTTGTAAATGTGCTTTACTATTACTGTGAATGTCTGGCAAAGCTTACATCTGGAGCTAAATCAAGTTCCCCATCTGTTGGGTTTGCCTCTTTTTCTCAATGTTAATTTTTAAATTGTTTGCAAGAACAATTTAATAACTGTTGAGGAAACTAGAAATCACTGGCACAAAGGGAGTGAAGAATTTAAGAAAAAGTCAGACTAGATTTCATAATACTGAAAGCCACTTTCTCTTCTCCATCTACAAAGAACTCACTCCTATGAGTGAGTAGTGTTTCCTCAAGACCCCATCACTTCCATGTCGGACACAATTTTATCCAGTACATATAGCACTCTGTTAATTGCCTTGCTATTTCATAAAGAAGCAAAAGTACTTAACCCCATGGGTTTCCTTTGCTTCTGTTTGCCACAAATAGAAATAGCCTCGTAAAGCAAAATGTCAAAGTGCCAGATCCCCATGAGTCACTCTTTAAATCATGGAGAATAGCAGAATGAAAATTCAGAGAAAAGCTTTCAGATGGCCTATTCACAGAAAATACTTCAGCACCAAAAATGCCTGAAAAGACTATCACTTGGTAAGAAAATTCATAGAACAGCAGTACTTTGAGCTTCTTTCAATATGACAAAAGAGAAGTCTCATGTAATCCTGCTTTACTTGATCAAGTATGACAATTTCTTCCACTCCCACAGACATGGGCTTAAAATAGTAGTGGTGCACAACACACTCCACCTAAAAGGGTACAATAAACCTCACGATGAGCCAGAGAACTCTGAAAGAGATAAATTCTCATTCCTTACCTGATATTAACCAATGCATGGGTCACCTTGCTAGCTGCTTCTTTCCACTGGCCTGCATTGGTAGAAAGTCTCAGGACTGAAAGGAAGGAAAGAACACAGATCTGTCAGGACCCCTACTATAAAACCCAAATACAAACAATGAAGACACATCTCAGAACAGCACTACTAGAATAACCACAAAGAATCTGTGTCAATTATCTGTTAAAAACAACCTCGGTGTTTATGGTTTCATTGACATTCCAGTTAAGTAGCTCAATAACATGTTTAATGCCTCTGTTTTACCTCAAAGTTCACTGTATAGTGCCTAGTGTCTTAAAAGATTTCAAGTGGCCATCCAAGACACAACTGGTCTTTATTCACCTGGAGCAAAAGAAGTCAAGTCAGAAACAGGAAGAGGATGTGGAATGTGTGAGTAATTGTCTCTATGAGGTCCGGCCTCCTTTACATGAGAGCAGAAGAACTGGATGGTGTTTATCTACCAATCCTGAACGCTTTCATCAAAGATTCCATACAAGAATCCTGATCCTGATCAAAATGGGGAACATGAACAGAATTTCAAATTTTCATAGACTTTAGACTTCCTGGAGCCATGAAGGATGGATAAAGCCCTGAAACTATTGCCCAGAGATTATCTTTAAACCATAAACCAAATATTAATCCCCTGAAGTCATCGTAAAACTATACAATAGTTTAGCTTAACTGGTTAAAAAAAAGGTCTGCCTTGAGCATTTTGCTCTTCTAAGAACTATCTGTAAGGGATCAAACTGACAACAGCAACTCAAAAGATTAGGTAAGAAACTTAGGGGGCAGTAGGTTTATGCTATGTGAAGAAGGTGAAAATAGATGCAAAACTTGAACATAATCAATGTCACTGAATTGTACATGTGGAAACTGTTACATTGGTACATGTTTTGCTGTGCATGTTCTCAACAACAATCAAATTCAGTCCCTCTGACTTAACTGTGTGACCTACAACATCAATCCATAGGAATTTCTCTTCTCTAGCCAAGATTTTTCTCTTTTCCAAGCTCAACCATAGGAGAAGTGTTGGAATAAAGAAATGAACTCTTATATCAGCCTGTAAGCTTCAGGAACACACATCCAAGTAACTCAGTTATTTCAGAAAATAATCAAAACAGCACAAGTGCTCCTTGAAAGAGCAAGCACATGGTAGGTACACCAAATATATTTTCATATTGCATGAATAGCTAATAACAGCTGAATATGTGGACACTTTTTATGTGCTGGGCACTGGACAAAAACAGGATATGTGCAATACAGTACACAGATGAGGAAACAAGTAACGGATTGAAGTCATTCACACAAGTTGTAGGTGCTGCTGGGATTTCAACCCGAAGAGGACAACTTTAGAACCTGTTCTTACATGAAGTAATAGCTAAGAGCTGCACTCTGAAACCCATTGTCAGGGTATAAGTTCAGTCCCTGCCACTTATTAGAAAATAATAACCGATACTTACATGAAATGATTATTGTGATAACCCTGCACAGGGTTTCCGAGGCTGTAAATCTTTATGGGAGCAGAAAGCCTCATCTTTCTCCCACAGTACGGCAGGTAATTTCGAACTGCTAGTCTTGAGGTTAGCAGCCACTACCAGAGCTCTGGTAGTGTAGTGGTTACGAATCGGGCTGCGAACCTTAAGGTCAGCAGTTCGAAACTACCAGCCGCTCCGCGGGAGAAAGATGAAGCTTTCTACTCCCTTACGGATTTACACCCTCGGAAACCCTGTATAGGGTCGCTATGGGTCGGAACCGACTCGACGGCACTTAACAACAACAACGCTACCAGAGCTCCTTTAACTATAAGCTATTAGCTATTATCTATTACCTGTTACAGGATTTCAGAGACGGTAAATCTTTACAGGAACAGAAAAGTCTCATCTTTCTCCCGTGGAGTTTGAACTGCCAACCTTTAGGTCATCCTAGAGCACCACCAGTGCTCCAAGTATTGTTGTCATCATTGTTGTTGTTAATAAGTGCAATCTAGTGACCCTGTAAAGGTTTCCAAGGAGCAGCTGTTGGGTTTCAACTATCGAACTTGTAGTGCCACACAAGGACTCCAGCAACACTCCAAGTATTAGCTATAAATTTTAATAGACTGCCTCCCAAATGAATCAATAAATGTATATGAAACGCTCTCAGAAAAAGAAAAATGTGGCCCAGATTCCCTAAATGACACTGAGAAATGCGTGCCTGATTTGCATAGAAGCTTCATATCTAAGCACCAATACTACCTACTCCTGGTCCAGGATTCCTCTAACAAGAAGAGCAATGGCAGCAGCTCCATCAAAGGGAGGAACTATGGCTGAAACGGAGAAAAGAAAACTCACCGGGCTGCTCTGCATCTGTTCTCACAATGCCTCATTTTCATAAATTCATGCAATCTTATGAAAGAAAAGATACGATGGAAACCTTAATGAAACATTATCAGGGAGATGCTTTTCTCATTTTTAAGATTTAGTGCAAGGGAACCTGTCTACAGGATGAATTCACTATATGTGCAAATTTATCCATGTAACGAGCAAAATGTTTCAGCAGACCAGACAATTTTTTCAATTCAATTGTGAAATCTCTTTAGGTGCACTGGTTGGTCATTAGATCCTCTACTAGATCTTAAGTTCTCTGATGGTAAGAACCTAAACATTTATAGAATTGAACGGAATTTTTCTCTCCCCACACCTTTAGAGAGGTGTTTAACTCTCTCCAGGGATTACTTCTCTATAGCATCCTGTCACCTTTGTTCTTTAGTGAATATGTACCCAGGTGATCACATCACTGCATTTTCTTTGGAAACACCATAAACATTTCTACTCTAAGCTACTAAATTCAAACACACAATTATTTACAAGTGTCCTAAAGGCCTCAAATGAAAGCAATCACTTATGAAGCAAACTATGGTAAGCAAAAACATTATGCTGCCATGACTTAAGAAAATTGCAGAAAAGTAGGAAAATGTTTTATGTTACTGTAAGTTAGAAAAACACAAAATAGAAGGCTACTATAGTTGCAGGTATGCAAAAACATGCATGCATATGGGATAATATACAATGCAAACAGTGGTAGTATGAAAATGGAAAGAATGTAAGATTTTTATGTATCTTTTTCTAATACTTTTTCTTTAATATTGGTCATTATCTTTATTTTTTTAATTAAAAAAAAAGTTCAAAACATGATGTCATTAATGGTTCAAAGGACAAATATTTAACAATTGCACCACCAGAGCAGCGTCAATGCATTAGTGTTGCCACAGTAGGTGTTAGATGCCACCCAGTCAGCTCTGAATCACAGTGCTCCTATGTACAAGAGAACAAAGCACTGGCCAATCCTGTGCCATCCCCACAAACGTTGTAAACCCACTGTTTGCAGCCACTGTGGCAATTCATTTCATTGAGGGTTTTCCTCTTTTGGAAGCATTATGTCCTTCTCCAGGGAATGGTCTCTCCTGATAACATACCCAAAGGCCATGAGACAATGTCTCACTATCCTAATTACTGAGAAGCATTCTGTCTATACTTTTTATACAAAAGATTTGTTTGTTCTTCTGACAATCCATGGTAATTTCAACATTCTTGGCCAACACCAAAATTCAAAGGCATCATTCTTCTCCTGTCTTCTTTATTCGATGTCCAGCTTTCCAATGCAGATAAGGCAACTGAAAATACCATGGCTTGGATCAGGTGCACCTTAGACCTCAAAGTGCTATCTTTGCCTTTTAACACTTTCAAGAGGTCTTTGGCAACAGATTTGTTCAATGCAATACATCATTTAATTTTTTGACTGCTGCTTCCAGGAGCTCAAAGTGAAATAAAATACTAGACACCTTGAATCTTTTCTCATTTATCATCATGTTGTTTATTGGTCCATGATGTTGTTCATTGTGAGGATTTTTATTTTCTTTACGTTGAGGTGTAATCCATACTGAAGCTTGCAGTCTTTGAACTTCATTTCATCAGTAGTTGTTTCCAGGCCTTTTAGCTTACAGCAACCAAGACTGTATCATTTTAATATTGTAGGCTATTAATGAGGCTTCCTCCAAGCCTATGCCGTAATTCTTCCAATCAGTTTCTTGTGTTATTTGTTCAGTGTATAGATTGAATAAATATGGTGAATAGACACAACCTTGATGCACACCCTTTCTGATTTCATACCAGTCAGCATTTCTTTATTATGTTTGAATGACTGCCTCTTGGTACAAGTTCTGCATGAGTACAATTAAGTGTTCTGAAATTTCTATTCTTCGCAATGTTATCCATAGTTTGTTAGGACCCAAACAGTCGAATGCCATTGAATACTCAATAAAACACAAATAAACATCTTTCTGGGACTCTCTGCTATCAGCTAAGATCCATCTAACACCAACAATGGCAACCCTCTTTTCATGTTCTCTTCTGAATGTTGCTTCAATATATGGTGGCTCCATCAATGTACTGCTGCAGCCATTTAAAAAAACGATCTTCAGCAAAATTTCACATGTGTGTGATATTAATGATGTTGGTTGATTGCTGTTATTGCTGAGTACCATGGAGTCGGTTCCAACTCATAGTGACCCTACACAGGGTTTCCTACGCTGTAAATCTTGATGGGAGCAGAAAGCCTCATCTTTCTCCCATGGAACAACTGGTAGTTTGATAGTCTCCACATTATATTGGATCACTTTTTAAAAACTTTTTATTGTGAACTGCGTGAAGGTTTACAGAACAGATAGATCATCAGTTTCCTGTTTAAGAAATCATACACTTTGTTTCATCTTCCCTCAGTGTAACAGCACCTATCCCACTGCCTCCCTGTGTTTCCTGTTTCCATTCATCTTTTCCCACCATCCTGAATATTGTCCTTAGGTAAATGCTGCCTTTATAATCTCAAATGGCTGACCATTCTATGGTATGGGTACTTCACTAGTGCTGTTGTCTCCCATATTTTCCTATTTACTGCTCGGATGAAAATTGAGCCATAGGGTGGCTTCTAGACTGAAGGGTGACCAAGGGCCATCACCTTAGGTTTCATTAGTCTCTATCTGATTAGTATGCTTTGTCTATTTTATCATTTTGAGTTTTGCTT